ATGGAGCTGGAAAAGATCATGCTTATTGAAATAAGCCAAAAAGAAAAGGAAAAATACCGGGTGGTTTCTCTCAAAGCAGGAATATAATGGAACAGGTGAGAAAATAATGATAATGATGAACGGCTATATACCAGAGACATTTTGTGGGGGTGGAGTGGGAAATGGGATCAAAAACAGTGGGGGGAGGGAAGTGCATTGGACTATGGTGATGGCACATGGGTGATTTGGTGATGGGAAGCCCAAGGGGATTGCAAATGAGATGGAAAAGTACAAAATAAACTAACTATTGCAAAATAAACTATTATATATATATATGAGGGTTAATAAGCAGCATATAAAGAAGGAAAACTTGAATGTTCCATAATCCTGAACAGTTGCTAGGGAAACTTCAGCAAGAGCACAAACACTACATTCTTATTTGTTAAATGTATGTGTGTGCGCTGGGTAAGAGGCAGATTCTGAGTCAACTTGAATTGACTCATTGTGTGTGTGTGTGTCATGATTTTTATTTGAAGTATCTTCTTTTTTTTTTTTTGGCTGGATCTAGTTCCAGTGTGAGAAATTTCCTTTCAAAAGCTCTTTAAACACCCATGTAATTACTGTTGACTCTGGGAGTGAGGGCTCCTCTAGCTGGCTCTGTTCTCAGGCTCTGAGAGGAGATAAAGCACCAGGCACCCCTTGAAGATGGAGCGCTGACACAAGAATGCCATTTTCCAACAGATGTGGGCTGAATGCTGCAAGACTCACCTCTAAGCACTCATGTAGGTCCCTTACGTATGCCTTCTCTGTCTGGAGCAGTTCAGCCATAATGAACCTAAAGGAAACAAATGAGCTCTTAGTTGGTCAGAGACATAACACTTCACTTCTCCACTCCCATTTATGACATTCTTGAATGTCCTAGTTTTCTACTTGATCAACATCTCTCTCTTCATTTCTTCAAAACTCCTGCCTCTCAGTATTATCTGCTGAGTCCCTCTCCCTCAACTCTTTGCTCTGGATCCTGTCAGACAGCACTTGTGCTCAGCTAGCTCCATAATCTCTTCTTTTCCCACCCTAATTCTGCTGCTTTGTGTGTGTGGATACGCCTGTCCCCAGCTGCATGTGTGCCTGGGCGGTCAGTATCATTCATGTTTGATCTCACCAACTAGACAGTTTACCTTTTCACTTCCTATGTTTCTTCTACAGCACCCAGAAAGAGCTTTCTGTTTAGTGGAATTGTTGACTTACACCATAACAGCACTATAAGTTAAAGTTCACAGTACTCTAAGTTAAATTAGATTTACAAACCAGGAACTGAGGCCCAGGACACCACTACTGAGATGGAAGGAGCAAACTTTTTCTATAAAGATCCAAACATTTGTGGGCTATTTAATCTATATTAGAACCACTCAATTTTGCTGTTGTAGCATGAAAGGGCCACAGACAGCATGAAAAAATAAATAAGCATGACTATGTTCCAAAAAACTATTTATGGAAACTGGAATATGAATTTCAGCTAATTTCATGTGCCCAAAAATACTCTTATTTTTTTTTCACTATTTGAAAATATAATACTTAGTTTATAGACTATATAAACCAGGCTGTGTGTCAGATTTGGCCTGTGGGCCACAGTGTGCTGACCTCTGGCCTAAATTATCCTGCACACTTCAACACTATTTCTAAAGGGACTCACTGACACCACAAACTGATGTGCATTAAGCTGAGTAAGTGATTACAAACATACTACAAGTCAACAATTTAAGTGACTACATTCAACCTCCCAGAAAGAGGAGCTGTACACACATCTTGGATGAGGGGGTTCCCTAATGACACAATGGGTCACTATGATACATGACTTCACTGTAGTAGCCCCACTTTTTTTCTTTTGCAAATTTTCATTAGAAATGATACTTGCTAGTTGGCATACAAAATACAATTAAAGCAACACATTATTCCAGCAGTGCTCTTCCTATTAAAAGTATTGGTTTAAAATCTCCCTTTTACAGGAGCTTGTTATGCATTCTCCTACTATTCTTACTCTATCGGTAGTATGGAAAGGGATTAGCCTTGGAGCCAGACAAGAATTGAATTATTACTCTCATGTACTATAGGTAGGACTTGCTTTACTAAGCTTCAGACTCCTCATTTATAAAACAGTTGATTGTACATGAATGCTGTCATGAATAAATAAAGTCATATAAAAAAAGTTTCTAGTACATCATAAACTAAAAAAAAGGACAATAAAAGGATAATAATCTGACAGGCTTTGCAAAGTTGTCTTTGATTTTACTGTTTGCCATTTTTGGCATTCTACCTCCTCCATTTTTCCCTTCAACTTCTTTCCGGCAGTTTTGTTTGCCCGCCTTCATAATTTAGCTGCATTATTCTTTACTCTACTTTGTGTCATTGTCCATACATCTCTTATGCTGCTGAGAAGCTTAGAGAATGGAGCGGGAATCAAATTAAGTTGGCCCCAATTCTCTAAATGGATTCTAGATCCTATTCACTCTTCTTCTGAGAAAACACAGCTCAATTTATGAAAATCTCAGGCAACATCATATTATCCCCAAACAGTTGAATCCTAACCGCCTCTTCTCTCTTCTTGTCAATTCTTTTTGCCTCACTTCCTCTTGGACTATCATTGACCTAGGAGTAGGTATAAATACAACCTGATGCCTACAGGTCAGTCACTGGACCAGTCTCTTGGTATATAATCTTTGCTTTTGAGATTCTTTTATATGTTAGGTCAAGACTCAGAAATCTGAATACACAGACCAACTCAAAGCTAGAGTCATGTGGCAATCCAGAGCATGCCTTACTTTCTCCTGGATCAATGCTGTTACTTCAACTTCAAGTAAGTTTTTACTGTCCTTATTTGTTGTGTGATTTGAGACAACTTCTTCCCCTTCCCAAGCTTTCAATCTCCAAATCTAATTATATTCTATAAGCTTTTCTTGATAATTTATAATACCATCATTATTCTCCATGTCCCTGATTCATATGAAAGAGTATAAAATGTTTCTTGTTCTCAAGTTTATAATCTACTTAGAATGATGTGCTTGGGAATCAGCTGAACAAGTGCAATATGAATTCGTATAAAGGAGATGCATAGAAAGGATCAATAAAAGTAGAGACTGCAAATAAAGATGCACAGGGCTTGGGATATGGGCTGTGTTTTCAAAAATAAATAGAATTTAGAGAAGAGCAAAACAAATCCAAACAGAAAAAAATAACAAGAGAGAGAAAGAGAATGGAAGGGAAGGGATGGAAGAACAAAATGGAGAGGAGTCCAGGTCAAGAATACTGCACAACATAGACATACCTTTTCTTAGAAATAAAAATAATCTGACTCAAGTGTATCATTTGAATTGGAAAATACTGTGAAATAAGATTGATTTAGGTGAGTCTAAATGATAGCATCTAGAGGTGTTTGATCTTTATTGGGGGGGAGCAATATGAAACCATTTAAAATTGGGGGTAGGTAAAATGAGTCATAGTATTCAGGGTAATGAAGAATCAGATAGAATTTATTTTAATTTTGACTCCACTATTTACTATCTGTCTGATTTGGTCCAAGTTGCTTAGCTTTTCTAAGTCTTATTTCTCATATGTAAAGTAGGAATAATAATAGGTGCCAGAGAGAAGTATGAGGAAGATAAAATGAAAAATAAGTGTAAGGCAGTTAATCCAATGTTTAGTCCATAAAACATTTAGGTTTGATGGTAGGGAGAGTATTGGTATTAATAATAGCAAAATGCTACTAAAAGGTAAATCTGGCATCACTGCCAGGTGAACTGGGTGGAGGATGGGGCAGGAAGGCCAGGGAATGTTTTTTGAATATTTTTGAGATCGAGAGATGGTGAGGAGGGACAGACACAGGAGACTGTGGGAACGGGGGAAAATGACAGGACACGAGAAACTGAAGAAGAAATGATATAAAAGATGAAGGGGCTAGTTGAAGCTTACTTCACAGTTTCAAGGTTAGAAAACTACGAGGGGGATGACATGACTGACATGAATTAGGACATCAGAAGGGAGAAATAATTTGGAGAAACGTAATATTTGGTTTAGTCCATGTTGAGCTTTGAGAGTGTGTGAAGTTTGATGACTTAAATGGAAGGTTTTCTCTGGGAAGTGAGGGATTCATGAAGTAAACTCAGATGACGGGCAGAACAGACATTAAAGTCTTCAGAGTGATACCAATATCCAATGGAAATATCATGTCTGTCCACACCAACCTAAATAGGTGCGTGAGACACAGTAAGCTGTCAAAAGGGTCGGGGAGCAGCAAAAGTCAAGGGATTTTAGCACAGCAGGAGGAGCCTGTGAGCTACGCAGGAGCTCCCCAACACATACTCTTTCTTTCGAGCTGACTTCCGCTTCTCTTCATTGATTTCATGGTTAGCGTCCCGGAGCTTGACTTCACGGTCTGAAAGGCTTGCTGGGATAATGTCCAGTTCTAGGTCTTTGTTATCCTATGTGGAAAGATCACAGTGGTCACCTCAGTCATGTTTTGGGAAAGCAACTCACTAGAATCAGGGGAGATGAAGAGAGGAAACGCAGAGAAAGATGGAAGAGTGGGTGGGGAAATCCCACCAGCTGCCACCCGCAAGTATACTTTGTGGGATGAATTTTTTCCAAATAATAAAGATAGAAAATGTTCAGGTCAAATGTTCAAGGCTTCTAAACCCAGGAAGAAGAAAACAATGAACACATTTGATAATTATGTCTTATTTTCCCAAGGACTTTGGTACTGGTTAAATTTAAACACATAAATTACTTCAAATTTGATCATACGCATTAAAATAGATGTGAAACAGAAGCACATAAAGATGTAAGAAAATTTCCATTTTTAAGTAAGACTAATAAAATATTTTCATTTAAATAAGCAATTTCCTTTGGAAATAGAAAACCACAGACTAGAACAATTACTGAATTTTCCATTGCCCATCTCTGCTTATTTCAACCACTATTTGGTACTTATATATGATGGAAACCTCTAGAAAAAAATGACATTCAAGTGTGGGAGAACCATTAATGCCCCATTTTTAATGGTTTGACCACTTCACTCTTTAGTCTGCTCTGATTCAGAGCATGAACCTAGAATTAGAAATCCTAGGCTTAAATTGCCAGGCTGTATTTAGCTCTTAATGCATAGGTTACTGACCCACGTTATAAAGAAAAGATTAAAAGTCTTTTATGGCTTTGTGGCAAGATAAACTTGCTTTGAGATTTCAGTTGAAACCTCAAATAGCCTTTGCACAAATTGTACCCCTTATTCTTGAACAAGCACTGGAGACTCTAATCATTTGCTGATTAGCATAATTGGGTAGAAGATGGTACTACTGAGCCAGGATAAAGAGGTCAGTCTTCAAAGTCAAACAATGAACTCTATGCAGAGAAAAACTCTGTTCGATAGTGATAGGCCCCATCAGCCAATTTTGCAATATACACAGTACTGATCACAGGGGGCTGAAGAGAGGGAGCTAGCTCAGCAAGACCCAGCCCTCCAGTAAAAGAACCACACACAAGGCAAGTGTCCTAGTGGTCAGCTGTTTAGAAATGGCTTCTACCTGTGGCAGTGAGCAGTAGTAGGAGGGAAATGCGAAAGGAGGACTCCTGGCTGGCCAATCCCCATACGCACCTCTGTGTTGACTCCCAGAGCTTTCTCCAGGGAGTACCGGTACTTGCCCATCCTCAAGGAGAAGTCTCTGTAATGCTTGTCCACTGTGGTTACCCACTTCCTGATCTCTGTGGCGTGAATGTGGCCTTTTTCCACAAAGCTATCAGCCAGTTGAATCAGAAGCTTCACCTTCTCCTTTGTTTGCTGTCCCAAAAGATGATCATAAGTTACTGAATTGCATTTACTCTCAACTCTTCATACTTTCTCTCCGCCTTTCTTTATAGCAGCCATAGACAGCACATAGTCAGGCTGCATAGGCCTGCATGCCAGCTCTGTCACTTGCAGCTGGAGATCCTGAACAAACCATCTATGTGTCATTCCTTTATTCTCAAAATAGGGGTTGTAACAGTACCTCTACTATTGGGTTGTGAGCATTACATGAGTTGATAATGCAGAATGCTTAGGATTCTGGAGCACAGGGCTCACAGTGAGATCTCAGTCAGCAATACATTAGCCACCATGTTTATCGATGAGAGTGTGTGTTACCATTTTACAGAGTACATTAACACCACATCTGAGACACTGAGTCTTAAAGCACTCCAAGAAGGTAGGTGGAGGAAGGTGGTTGGTATGGGACACTGAACCATGACAAAAGAAATGTCGGGAGACTTGGGGCTTGCCCCAACAGAGCCTATGTGCCTCTGTGCCATATTTCCCAGTTCTCTCCCTTTACTGTACCAGCCTCAAGTGGGCTTTCTAAATGTCAGGCAAACAGGTACATGTCAGGAACTAAAGAAACCCAACTAGTAGATTTAAAAGGAAAGTTTGTCTTGATGACCAGAATCTTATCATTAGTTTCTATTAGAGAGAAAGAGAAGAGTTAATGAGGCTAAATCCAGGGCGTAGTGAGGTGGGACTTTGCTGTGTGTTGGGTTAATTTCATTTCTTGATAGAGTTGTGTGGCATCTGTTCTGTCCACAGCACTGTACAGAAAACTGTGGGGACAGTCTTGGAAGGTAAACGAAAGAAAAAAGAGACACCACCCATCCCCTCCCATACACAGATCTATATTCTCCAGCAGGGACATGATTTTCACAGAGTAGTTATGTAATTCGGGGCATTATGTAAGTGAATGTCAAGATGAGAAGTATGTACGCATGCGTATACTACCATCGGCGCTGCAGGAATCTAAAAAAATGGAAAAAATGAAATGGAATGGTCCAGGCAGGAAAAGGTCTCGTGGGGTGGGGAATTATGCAGCAGAGATCTGGAAACAGTGACGTTCAAGCAAGTGATCCTTGCTCATCTTTTAATCTTAGACTTTGAAACTCTAAAATCTCAGGGGAGCCTGGCAGATTTTAAGAGACAGTGAAGAACATTTAAATAATATTCTGAGGAGCAAAATTATCTTTTGGATAGGAGAAAAGTAGATCCAAAGTGTGGACCATGCTATAATCTAGAGAACCAAGGGAAAAAGAGGCAGAAAATTACTAGAGCAGCAGTAGAACAGACAAAGAGCTCCCTTGTGTTTTTCTCACCCTTCTTTACCTTTCCGGGCTCATCTACAGTTCTCCCCCTGGGAGAGGCCAACCTTGCCAAGGAATGCCAGAGGGAGAACTAGGTCTGTGACGTGGCTGGGGAGATTCGGGGCCCCAGCTCTCCTGCTATTCACCACACAGAGCCCTTCTTGCCACAGGTCAGGGACTGATACCCAGAATTGGGAGAGAAAGGCCCAGAAGAGTTTTGGCATGAAGGAAAACGATGAGGACGGGAGAAACTCCTTAGCCACAAAAAAGGACAAAGAATAGTATTGGGAATTAGGTAAGAAGAGACAGTGGTAGCCTAAGGAACTAAGGACCTAAAGACCTTAATACCTTTGGGTTTTTCTTTCTGGGAAGAGTTTTCCTAAATTTGTTATTAAGACAGAGATTAACTTTTGCAACTATAACCAAGAAGTCCATTGTTATGTGAGAGCCTTAGAATTCCAAATTTAATCCCTGTTTTGGTACGGAGATGGCATGAGATAGGGTTTTATAGTCAGTTCCCCTCTGAGAAGAGGGGGACGGCAAAACTGTGATTCAGAGTCAAGAGGAAGCTGGGTTATGACCAAAATATTCCAGATTTTCATGGAATTTGGGGAGCAAATAGCAAAATGAGCAGTGCAGACAATGGTCCACCTGTTGTGATAGCCCCACCACTCTCATAGGCCCCTCAGCCAACATGTTGATTCTCTGTGTCCCCTTGCTCTGATGAGTGACTCCTACTCATCCTCATCCCTCTTTCAACCTAATGGCCCTCTTGTACCTCCTGAGTTCCCCACTGGTCATGTGGGTGACGCTCTTCCTAGTGCTGCCACAGCACCACCTGGGAGCCCCGACTTCAGCAGGTATCACAAAATTATTTATGAGTCTCCTCTGTTAGGCTGCAGATACCTAAAAGATGAGTGTTATATCTACCTCATTTGTATCTCCAATGCCAAGAAAATGGTAAGGCCACCACAGATTTGAATAAACAAATGAAAAAAAACCACATTTTTGGAAGTAATAAAGCCATAGCAGCAAGAGCTGAGGGCCAAGTTGAGAAGAATTGGGTGATAAATTTGACCCATAGACTGGACTCCAACCATGCCCACACCTGCACCTGACAGCAGTTTGCAATGCTCTTACACATGGGTGACTCGGGTGGCACCCCACAACCTGTACATTTTTGGCTGCAGCTGATGAGATCAAAGGTAAAATTGTTCCCCACCAATATGCAGCCAGTAGCTTCTGAGTGTCCTGAATTAAAAGCGCTGTCTAAACATGGCAATATGCTGGGCCAAATGAGCTGTCTCTGGGGATCTGGACCACAGGGATAGGGAACTGGACAGCTGGTTGCAGAGGAAAATGGAAACACAGGAGGCAGAGGACAGAGAGAGGGCAGCTGGCTCACAGTGACGCTGGTAATGTAGCCTGGTCCCCTGCTTAGCTGACTGGCTGGAACCGCTGTACCTGTTTCATTTCTCGAGGTGAGACTATGCCACATTTCTTATTCTTCCCAGAGTGGATTATGTCATTAAGTTTCTCCTTGATAGCATAATTTGAAATTCAAATCTTGCCACCAAAATATAGTAAATTATATAGAGTGACAAAGTGGAGGTCAGACTGTAGTTCTTGAATGCTAGGTTCAGAAGTATTGCCATGACCTGGTGGACAAGAGGGAAACTTTGGGGAACATAATTTATTTGGAACTGAAAATTTGGAACTGACACATCACTTATCTTGAGCTCTACTTGTGCCTAAGGCATGTTTTGCCCTTTCCATTTTGAATTCTATGTTATCTGCTGGAAAATCTAGAGATTTTTTTTAAAAAAGGGTTCAGTAATTCTACTTTTTCTTTTCACCTTTATTTCTTTCCTTCCTTTGAGCCGTTAATATTATACTATCACTCTTTAATCAGTGAACCTTACTCTGAAGAGTGCTTGTTGTAAAAACCCTTTGTGTCTTTTGCATTTTCCACAAGTCTTTTAAGATTTAGCCTTCTTGGTACCATTATTTTAATCTCATTATAATCTTCTAATTTGCTTTTCATTATTGTTATTTTGTGTATTTATTGATAATACTCTTTGTAGATGTGAACTTACTGAGCTCCCTTAGTGAGGAAGCCATTTTCCCGAGATACATCTTCATAATCACTCCCCAGGGAATAGTTTGCCATTATATATGAAAAACTAAATCTTTCAAAAATTTCTGTTTCATGCAAGTTACATTCCTTTTAAGAGTCTCATCTTTTATCTGAGACCCTTTTCTCCATCTAAAATGCCTATCTGACAGTTCAGTGTTCCCTTTTCTCCATCTGAATTCCATGACATAATTTAGTTAGTTCAGCTAAGACTCCAGTCATTTTCATTATCACTTAATGCCTTTTTTGCAGAAGAATTAAGTCGAGTTTATCTATGGCTTCCTTCACATTCCACGATAAAACTGCCAGTTTAAAAAGTGTTTTCTTTGCAACATCATTAGTAATTGGGAAATATAAATCAAAGCACAATGAGATAATATTTCATACCCCCAGGACAGCTATATAAAAGAGATGGATATCTTGGAAGACAGATATGTCCCAATTATTGGAGAGTATGTAGAGAAATCATAAGGGATTCAAAAATGAAAAACTCAAATTAAATACAGATTTTTTTGGAGAGGGGGGAGAGGATGAAATCTACAGACAGTTTTTTGTTTCTGCTTGTGATCTCCTTCCAATGCATAAGATAGTTAGGTAAATGAATAAAGTATGTGTCCTATCCTTTAGGATCTAGCTAGTTCATGTAAAAAATAACACTGCACACAGATTCCTAGAGAACAGGGTAGTTAATGCCAAGTGCCTTAGGTATTATACAGACAACCAGGGTGATCATGCAGGATGGGCAAGACCAGCTCCAGAACTTAGACAGGATCACAGACAAGGTGGAGTCCTTTTAACAAGTACAAACTAAATGGAAGAGATAGATGTTCCAGAAAGAGAAATGGATAGAAAAGGCCCAGAGGCAAGAAAGTATAGGATGTAACCCTCACAAGGTAAAAACAACATACAACTATCTGGAGCACGCATAAATGAACCATGGAAGCTGATGCTGGGGTGGAAAGGTGGCATTGTGTGACAATTGCTAAGTGCAGAATCATTCAAGTTTTTGAGCTGAGCGGTAGTATGACCAAAGTGGTGTCTTATTTACTTATTTTTATTGAGGTAGCACTATCTACAACGTAAAAGTCATCCACAGTCCTGCTTAGAAGGTGAACAACAATAAAGACTAGTTTGGGTTAGGACAGAGGTGGCAAGCATAGAGCCCAACTACGAAATTGCTGCAGGTTCTTGTGGTTAATAGTGGGGAGTGGGAGAGAGGGGGAAGAGATGAAGATTTTAAAGAAACAATGAATTAACAACCCTGCACATTTCCCCTCTGGTGATGGACAGCTTCTAATGCTAAGAAGTCTGGGTATCTGCTTTGATCATCTCAGGTGGGCAGGAAAGTCAGTGACCTGGTACTTCGCAACCTGTGAGTGGCTCATAACTGGCACTATTTGGAGAGGGGCAGACAGACACAAAGAGAGTAATTCAGATGTCATTTTCACTTGGGTATGAAAAGAGTTCTGTGTGTCTGCTACCTTCCTCGTCCATTTGCTTGGATTGATACTGAAATGAGTCTCACAGAAACGAGTCTCTTTTCACATTGGATGAAAGGACCCCAAAGGTCACAAGGATGCTGGGGAAGGCACCCTCACTGTCTAAAGTTCATAGTGTCCGACTCACAAAGTGGATGACCGCTTCAGAAATAACACCTCAGAAATGAGGCTGAGGGGCTAATTTTGTCACAGCAAATTAAAGGAACATTTGCCAGAGACAGACAGAAGTATCTCTGGGGAGGATGGGCATTAAAACATTCTCCCTTGAGCTGAAAGCAGTTCTCATTCTGGGAAGAGCATCTGCCATGTGAGCAAGTGACACCAAAAGTCTCCTCCATGGCAGGGAGGGATGAGGACACTACAAAGAGTACCTGAGGCAGGTCAGATTTTCATTCAAATCCCAGAGTCCTCAGATAAAAACCCCAGAAGTGAATACAGATGAAACTGAGGTTTTCTCCATTTATAGCATTCCTGGCCTCAATGTGAATGGAGGTGTGAGGAGGTGTGGTATGAGCATGTTCTGCTCCCCAGAGACCCTAGTGTGGCCCATTTGCATGTATGGGACCAGAAAGAACTAGTCCTTTCAGGAAACAAACCCATCTACTTTGTGAACCCACCCATAGAAAATGACCTTCCCAAAGGGTGAATATTCCTGGCCATTCAAGTTTGAATACTATGTGGACAGGTGCAGATATGCACACATGTAATGCAACTTTGCATGAATACATTCTGGGCCTCATTGGACTGAATGAATACAGAGATCCCAGATCGTGGGGCGTGAATATGAGACAGTAGAAGCACAGTGAATTGGAGCCGACTTCCTGCTTATATATGCTCTATGCAGCAGCTGCAACTCTTTTGATTAAGGTTTAAAGGAGATGATTTGCCTGGCAATTTCCTCCTTCACATTGTGATCCCAGGTTTCCATGCACAGAGGCTACTCTCTTTTCCACAGTATGAAACTGACCAGAATGGGGGAAATGGAGTGGACTGGGGAGGTGTCTTTGGGGTGCTTCTTACCTTGGCAGGCACCCTGAACTCCCCATATTCCTTCAGCAGTTCCTGAGTCTCCTCTGTGGTCTCTCCAGTGGAGGTATGTGTTGAGAGGTAATATTCACCTGTTTCTTGGATCCAGTCTAGTGCCTGTGGGAGGAAACAACTCATCCAATCCCCACAGCCCCAGCTGAAAACATGCCATATAGTTTGGGACAGTGTGATGGACTCTAAATGCTGCATTTGATCAATACCTAGCTTAAAAGTTGCATTTATGAATGACCCTCTCCTATTTGCCATTCCACCAGCATAGACAATGTCTCCTCCATCTGATTTGGCCTCTTTTAGGCCAAGGTCAGTATTGTCCATGAATTAGGAGCAATCTCTCCCCAGCATCTCTGCCCTACTCTTGGTCCCAAACTCTGAATAGAGCACTTGGTAAATGTTGAATGATGGGTGATGGAGTTTTCGGCATCCCCGCCTACCACATTTACTTTGCCTGCTGCTTTGGCCTGCTTCTGGAATGTTTCCCAAGACTTGGTCAGCTGGACCTCTGTACAGTCCCTAGAACCGAGGCAAAGTTAGGAAACGCTCCGGGCATACCTGTTTAGCACTACGTTCAAATACCACGTATTGCTGGCATTGGTCTAACCGCCGCTTCTTCAAGGTCCAGAAGTGTAGGACACGATTCTCCCTCTGTAAAAGCTCACTCAAGATGGCTGCAGGGCAGAGGAGAAATAGGTGCTGGTCAAGGAGGGACCTGAACAAATCCCGGGCTCCCGTCAACTATGGACTTCAAGCCTCCCCTAAGGTTAATCCAGTCAGCAGAGGCAAGGGAGCAATAACTTGGTAGAGAGAATCTCACAGTAGGTATCATGATTAGTAGACTGGAGTGACAACCTGCAGACCAGAATCTATTAAGGAAAGGAGGAAGAGTGTACCCCCAGGGTGATTTAAATCTGACCCTGATTCTCTTCACATCAAAGTTCTTGTCTGGTAAGTCTTTGACGGTAAGAGACCTTGAGAAGCATCAGCCCCTAAGATAGCAACAAATTCAGTCAGCTCCTGGAGGCCAAGAAGAGCAAGTGGACTTGACAGCAATCCCATCTGTTCTTGAGGAGTTTTAAGGGACAGGCGATGAGCAGTGGTAATCCGTATCGTTCACCATATTCTCTCTGCTCTGTACAAGATGGTACATATACAGTATTTCAATAGCATCGAAGAATTTTAAACATTCTAAATCCAGGCCATAGGGATCTGTGTTCAAATGATGTCTACGTGGCACGTGGCTTTGGATACAATCATAGGAAAACCAGAAAACCGTTTTCACATTACATGTAACAAGGTGAGTGTGAGGTCGTGCTAGGTGTTGACCCGTGCTCTTTCCTCTCTGTGTCTCCTGTTCAGAAGCAGAGGGCTACATGTGATTTCCTAAGTGTTTTAACAGCGCATACCCAGCTTGAAGCAATCAAGAAGAAAAAGGAAAGTGATATAGAACAGGTGGCAGATGCTGTCTCAGGTGGAAGCCTTAATTGGGGCAGAGAACCTGTGCTTCCTAAACTCTTGCTGCCCAAGAGGATAAACCCAGACCAGCCTACCCTCCTAAAGAGTTTCATGTTTTATTTTTTCCCATATCTTGGCTTTCCTATGGGCAAAATCTGCCCCCAATAAGGTGTAGCATCTCTTGCTGTCTAAGTGCCCATCCCTCTTAGCACACGGAGGTGTGGGTGTGTGCTCTAGGCAGGCAGCTGGCCTCACCCAACTGTCACCCGCATTTAGAAGTGAGAACATATGCCTGAGCACATGCTGGAAGGGGTGATGACGTAATACAGCTACCTGCGGGATCCCTGCCTGCAAACTGGGTAGTATCTGGAAAAGGTAGTCTGCTTCCCTCTTCTCTGAAGGGACTTAGACTCCTAAGTTTCATTCTTTCCAGTGCCCTCTGATCTTACCTGAGCTCTCTTCAAAGGAGGGAAGCTCCCCGAAGCTGTTCAGTGCCCCTCACCCAAACCTACCCATTCCACAGGGTCTGTAAAGCCTGTACCCACCCCCCAACTCCAAGTCAGTTTGTTTCCTCCTTAGCCTTGGTATCTAGAGTTGTACTTCTCTGGACAAATGTTGATTACATTTGTTAAGCTCTTCACTCATTCAAAGACTCTTGTTAGCATGATTCAGAGTAAGCAAGTCCATGGAAAAGTTAAGCCCAATATGATCAGATAAGAAGCAGTTTGTTAAACTTCGTGTTGTATACACACGTGTTGATTTTCAATGATGCACATCTGAAACGTATATAATGTTCAAATGCACTGTTACTTCAATAAAAAATTGTGTTAAATAAACTTTTAAGGCTATTTTTCATATAATTACATGCTTCTTTTTAAATAAGAAAACTCAAGTTTTAAAAACTTTAGCAATAAGATGAAAAGTCAGGATTAGAACAGAGTTTTATGGTTCTCAGTCGTGTCTTGTTCTCAGGCTATAAGATATCCCAGTCTTGTGCTGTTCAGTATGTTAGCCACTAGCCATATTTGCTATCTACCTTTAAATGAAGTATCATTCAACAGGAGTGAAAATGTTCCTCAGTGACACAAGCCACATGTGACAGGTGGCTACTATATTGTACAACCCAGGCACAGACCATCCCATTATTTCAGAATACTCCATTAGGCAGCACTGCTCTAGACTCTGCAATACACGATCAAGCTTTGGGCAAATTTTATGCTCTTTTTACCATTCCAAACCTTGATGCGTGTTTAAGAATTGCCCATGAGTCATCACTTCCTACGCCACCCCACATCAAACTATTTCTTCTCCAAAGAGAAGCAGCAGGAAATCTGCACTTGCATGAAAGCCAGTGAACAGCCTCTGTGCCCACTGCAGAGGTGGCTGGTGGGCAGCAGGTTTCACACTGACCTTTCACTTGCTGCTCAGGGCCCCGGGTGTGGCTGGCAGCACTGGGCATGCTGACGTTGTTCCTGTGGATGTACTTGAGAAACACTTCAGCATTCCGCCGTGCCAGGGTGCAGGCCTGAGAGAGACAAAGGTGTGAGGTGGCGACTCCCAATAGGTGCCTGGGCCCCAAGACACTGGGGAAGCACTGGTGGCAAGGTGGCTGGAGCTTGGAGAGAACAGAACCCTGGAGGCCACTTGTGTTCCTGGAGATACCACTTCCATTGCAGGAGGTTAGCTCTTTTGTCAAGAATTACTCCCTGTGCCTTTCTCCTTTCCCACCGGATAGGAATCAGAAATGAGCCATCCCTTGACTTCCTAAATGTTGATTCAGTATTACTAGTATTCACTCAGGCTGGTATTCCTCTGTTCTAGAATGAGTCAGATGGACAGTAGGACAAGCCACATTAATTCAATTTCATTTAATGTTAACTCAATTTAGACCTAAGACAACACATTTGGTAAACATTATCCACATCTAAATAGAAATGTCTACGTTTGACATTTTATTATTTGTATATTTATTTATTTGTCAACTAAATCCACCCACATCAATAGCAGCAATAAACATCCCACTGTCAGGAAACATGGAGGTACATAGGGAAGAAGAGGGTTATGCCAGCCCTGAAGGACTCACATAAGCTCTAGGAGACAGATGACAGGACACGTCTACTTGTACTGTGGAGACTGAGGTCCAAGAAGGGCAGAAGCCATGAAGCCAATTAGGGCTGGAGCCTGATTCTACTGATAGTACTTTTAGTTTCTCTCGACACCATGTATCATCTTTAAAAATATTTTTGATTGTACACTATGCATATTCCACAATTTTCAGAATTAAATGATCTTTAGATAACACTGTCAAATTTTAAATCTTTTTACACTCTGCACTTGAACTCACAAATTATATAATAAAAATTATTTTAAATGTTACTTGAGCAATAGTGGCTAATTCTAAGAGCTCTGATAAAAATCTGCTGATGGAAACATCAACTCTGAGATTCATGGATTTAACAGCTGGATGATAACCCAAAGTTAAGGAATCCAAAATAGATGAACTAGTGCAAACATATGACTGGCTGGGCATATGGCGACCTACACAACAGGGAATTTGTCACCCATGCTCTTAGATAGTATTTCCCTGTTTCCTTCTTCAAAGGAAATACTTAATTTTATGAAGAAATAACTTCTTACCTCTATTTAATCAGATTCTCTACTTAAATTATTTTTTTAGGAATATAAAAAACTTTTAAATCATCTTAAGTCCTGCAGAGAAAAAATTCTATTTGCTCTTAGTTGTAAGAGCTGGTTACTGAGAGTTCTGATTGAATGTGGGTACAGATACCAGCTATGTGGGTGGATGACAGGAAAAGGCCATCTTAAACAAAATTAAAAAAAAAAAGCCATCTAAGAGGTGGTCAAGTAGAGAAAATTCCTAATGAAAGAAAAGCAGTTAATTACAGAAATGTATAAAATCAGTGTTAACATGTCAAGGTATAAAAATTCTTTTTTGTATTTCCATAAACCTGAGGAAAGTATATCATGAAATCAAGAGATCTGAAACTAATCAGCCTTTAGATAAGTTTTAACACAGATGACTGCCGGAGAAAATCAAAGGCTGGAGAATAGAGGCTTACAAGGACTTCCCTCTTGGCTACAAGTTGATTCAGAGCAGGACTGTGCTGTTTTCCTTGGTAGCTAAACCAAAACAAAATCAAGGTATTTCTTCATTTAGCAAACAGTATTATATTTATTGGTGATTGAAATTGCCAGATTGATAAAGTGTCTAAATTAATTTCCTTTGCCCCCAATTTTATACCATCCATTTATAAGAAGCTTATTATATATATAAAGTAGGTAAAAAAGATATCACAGTGCTCTATAACTAGGCTTATCTTTCAATTAAGATATTTTTATTAAGCAAACATAACTGAATGAAAGTACGTATTTTTCTCAATTAACAATTATCACTGGGCTATGAGGATATTTGAACATGGCACCAGCAGTGATGGTATTATCTAATTATACCAAAAGTATTGCCAGAAATAACCCCTCAATCTTTCAAGGTAATCACCTAATACCTTCTCTCTCAAGTCTCCTTTTAGATGAAAGACTAGGAAGGACAGACATGGGAAGCCCATATGATGAAGAGGGGTGTTGGGCAGAGGAGAGGAGGGGAGGAGAGAGAGGGGTAGGGAAGATTAGGGAGAAAAAAGGTGGAGGAAAGAACAGGCTTGACGTCCAGATTTGGGGGACGGTATGTTCTAACCTTAAGAAAGGCCTCCTTCTGTTCCAAATGTTTGCTGATGAGTGGAATGACGTGGTCAATCTCTGCTGCTGGCCCCAGTTTATCTCGTCCGCCACACCAGTCCTCATCTCTCCGGTATTCTTGTTCTAAGCTTTCCAGGACACTACACACCTAATGGATCATAGGGAAAAGACCAAGTAAATTAATCAGATGAGATGTATCTGATGATGACCTTCAGCTAACAGAACTCTGCACAGGGTGCATATTTCATTCAAAGTTCTGCCTGCAGCTTTAGAGTCTACAGTGCCACTGGGATATTTAAGAGAAGTCCAGGAGGCAGTGACAATCTAGGGTTTGGAACTCAGGGGATAGATTATGACTAGAGATAAGAATTCTGAAATCATAGTCTTATAGTTAATGGGTGTAGGCTGAAGCTATGATAACAAAGCATAAGGGTAGTACCCATGTTAAGAAAGAAAGAGAGACTAGTATTTTTGGGGTTTCAAAGTTCCTAGCCATCTGTTCTTGCCCTATAATAAGTAGACCCAAGCAGAGGCAAAAAAAAAAGTTGTCCATGTTATGTAACTTATTGTCTATAAGTGAATGTCATATTTCTCCTCTTCTGGTGAATAAATATCCTAGCGAAAATCTCTCCAAGGGCTATCATAAGACAATGACACACCCAGGCCTCCTCTTGCAAAAAGCATATTTCTTTTAGAATGATAACTAATTTGGGTAAATCTAAAAGATAGTTTAAAAATGTTGCAGTTCTAAAAAAAAAAATGTTGAGAGGCCTCATGATGTAACTTTATAAATAAATTCACAAGAGAGCAAAGCTACTTTGAATGGGGTTTAGAAGGAAAGCTGGGTTGGTGTTGAACGTGGCAGAGCCAGAGCAACCTAGTGTCAGGGCCTACCGGAGGATGCAGAAAATAGAAACAAACATTCCTAGTTCCCTTCAATAGATGTTGATTGCTTCATTGTTATAACAGCAGGGGATTCAGTTAAAATTATCTTTGGCCTTCTCAGTCTGAGAAAGTCATCCCTTTTGAGGAAGAATGTGGTGTGGATAGGGCATTTGTTGAATTATGAACAGAGTGGAAAGACAAGCTGAAAGATGGGCTGAGGCAGAGCACCCACTCAGCCAGACATGCTTCCCCTTTCCCTGAACTCTAGCAGACCTCCCTACCATTGCTTTCTTATTTATTCAAGGCATGAACACATGCATGCAGGAACACATCATGAGAGAACAGCTCATAGACATGCCAGTACTATTAAGAAATGGAGTGCTTGAAGCATGTCCCAACACAGTATTGAACAAAGCCAATCAGTTTAGGAGCTAGAAGAAATGAAAAGATTATCAAACATGAATCCTTTAATAGAACAGGTTAAGATACAGAGCCCAGAGTGAGGAAGTGATCTTTGGGAACGTCAGGTCAGGATCAAATTTCCTGACTTTTCATCTAGTACTCTGAATGTCCCCATTAGCATTTTGGTACCTCTCAAACTGAAATTTGTCATGATGGGGACTCCTTAGTGGCCTGAGGGTTAAGTCTTAGCGCTATATCATCATTGCAGCCTGAGGACTTGAGTTCAATCCCCAGCTAGGGAGCTAACCCTCATATGGCACCGCAGACCTCTCCTGTCTCATCCACTGCTCCCTTTAACAGTATATTTCAGTAAATCTGCCTGTTCTGCTCCCCTCTCTGTCTCTCTCACTCCCACACCTTTGGACTATACTTCAGTTATTCTATGCAAAAATAAATTGTTATGATATTAGATAGGAGTCAGTCTTACTTTTTAATAGGAATACTCAGTAGTCCAACAGCACTTGTTGAAAGATTTTCCTTAGTGCACTGCTTTATGAATAACCAACTGACTGTGTACAGGTGGACCTATTTCTGTACACATTCTGTTTTGTCTTATACCAATTTTGTCTTATATCTGTTTTGTCTTCTGTTCCATTCTGCTTTGTCTTATACCAATTGTATTTTGTTTTGATCATTGTAGCTTTAGAATGAGTCTTAAAATCAAGTAGAGCAAATCGTCCAACTTTATTTTTGCTTTTCAAGATAGTTTTATTTTAGGTTCCATAAATATCCAGTGTAGAATTAATGCACCAATTTCTACAAAGAAGCTTGCTGGGATTTGACTGGAATTGTGTTAAATCTACGGAACAATCATCTCAGTCTGCTGCTTCTACTTCTGTGTCCGGCAAGGGCATCATCTTTCTGAAACAGTAGTAAGAAAGAGTGAGAGAAAGCATGGGGTAGCCGCACTGGCAGGCTATATTTACTCTGGGAGAGACTTTCCAGTGATCCCATGGCCCAGGTTCTCTAAGATGTTCCCAGAAGAGGATGTTTCTCTAATCTATTCTACCAGGGAGCAATTCAAATGAGGAAAGTGTTTTATATTGAATAAAATAACTCTGCTTTAAGCCTCCACTTTCAAAATCCCTTTAGCCCTGGTGCATATAGAATAGATATATGGGTTTGTATCTGTATAGCCTTGTATGTAACTCCTGCCTTTTCTCCCACAAGTGACACTGTCTTGCCAGAGATACTCATCATTCTCTAATGATAGAGAGCTATTTCTTCCACTGGACTGAAAGCCCCAGGAGCTTTCATACAGCACAAGAGCTGTATGTTTTCAAGCAGTACATTACCTGTGACTAAATTATTTGATCAGCAAATTGTCACTTTCTTCTCCCAACCTTCATTGAAGGCATTTCCCTGATAAGTGATGTTGGTTTGGCTACATGACTTGTTTTGGTTGAAAGTTGTTAGACGATGTGACAAAAATAGCGACTTGCACAGATTTTAGGCTCTGCCGTTCTACCTTTTGCCATAAATACACTCAAGAACTGCTTGTCAAGAAAGAGGAGAGACATGGGGAGGAGACGTTTAAGCAAAACATAAGTGCTTCTTGCTTTTTATCACTGAATTTTGAGGGCGTTTTGTTATGCAGCATTATTGTGGCAACTGACACACTGCTCAAATATAATATACACCCGATTTCTACTTCTATTTCTGGATCCAAAGAACTTGAGAAGTTTATTAAAAAATTTATAGAACTTCTTTTAAAATTATAGAAATTAAAAAAAAATGCTAAAAATGATCTGTTCCTAATGAAAGGGTTCTAAAGAACACAACGGTGGTGAAGCCACAGCTACTTCCAAAGGCATTTAATACTGAGGCGACTGGCTTTGCAGTAGAAGACAGGAACTCTTCCCTTGACCGCAGCCCCACATGGACCACAGACCTCCCCTCACCTGTTCAGAAGTTTTGTAGAAGGCCACGGATGCATTGACCAGTTTCAGCCGGTCTTCCATCTTGAGCATGAGCTGCTGCCAGTGGAGGGCCACCTTCTCAGCACACTCTCTGATGGCGTCGGCATCGTAGTGGCCGGCCTGCAGCAGTGCCTCAGCTTTCTGCTGTACCTGCAGGGCACTCTGGTGCGTCTTCTGCAAGGAAGTGGCATGAAAGAGGGACTGGGCACAAGGGGAGGAGAGAGAGGTTTGTGGGAACAACCCAGGCGTGGTATGGGAGGGGTGGAGTGAGGCGTGAGTGGAAAGATGCAGAAAAGTTAAAGTGCTTTAAATTACTGATTCAAACATTCCGTCATGACGCTTAATACACTATTGCTTTCAAAGCATACTTTAAAAAAGAACATCATACACTTTCATTAAGGAGGGTCCTTGCTCAGGACCTCACTGCTGACCCGACTCTTTGCTGCTCCTTGCATCACTCTGGGTTTTAGAGACACTTCTGTTTCTGTGGTAAAGAAACAGCCACTGTGTATTAATCTGCTCCCTGATTGGGTGCCAAACTAATTCAATTTCCTTTTTTAAACCTAGTTGTGCTTGTTTTATAATGAGTTGAGTTTTCCAAGGAGGTTGTTGCTATGGCTCCATTTCATAGATCAAATAAGCACAACATACAGAAAGAGCTCCCTGTAATATAAATCTTAGTCAATATTATTCCAAACATTAGTAATGAGTTTAAAAGGAATCCAGTAGAAAGAATTATAAAGCAGAAGAGTAGAATCTTACACTATCCCTCACCTAGTAAGGAGCAACAGAGTAAGTAATTCAGCTCAAAGTATAATCCCCCCATGGTATTATTTATGTTTGGCTTTTAAATAATATATCCAGTATATGCCCAAGACCATATACGGATGTATGTATGTTAGAGAATTTATTACATATTTTAGGTATTTTCTTATTCAGGCTTCATGTGGTTTGCATTTCCTGAGTTCACATTAACTGTGGGATTGGGTGGCAGAAGAGAACCAAAGGGATTTAAATTTACTAAAATAAAGTACTGATGCAGATGAACGCGATGACTTCAAATAGTATCACCCCAACCTCAACTGCTGGGGTCATTCAATCCTTGGCTTTGTATTTTTAGAAGAGTATATCTCAGTTGACAATGAAAAGGGACAGCTAGCAGATCAGTAATTTACTCTACAATTATTTCTACCCTTCTTGGGCAGAAGTACCAGGACAGTTCCAAGAAACCAGTCAACATGCTTAAAGTGTGCATACAACCTCCCAGCTTCCATCACCCTTCCTTTCATTCTCGACTGAAGATCACATATGTTTATTTTTTTCTGGCCTATCAACCTCCTCCTTGCTTTCTTCTCTCTCTCCTGAAAATCTGTAGTCTGCACTAGCTATGATAGCTTGACCTCCTCCAGCAACCTAGACACCTTCATCCTCTTGCTTTGCCACCAAGTTAGCCCTCAATGATTATATGAGTATTTGGATTCCTAATTGAGGAACACAACTAGAAAAAGTGGACAGAAATGATCCATGACAAATACCTGGTTTCTTTGCCTATTTTACTACTGGCAGTTTATACTTCTCAATTTGTGAAACTGATATGTAATTGTCATCACAAATTAATTAAGGTGCTTTTCTCTCTTAGAGTGGAGGAATAACTAAGTTTCCTAAAATTTATACCATGCAGTAATTCCTCTTTCTTATCCTGAAATTCATTATCATCTAATAATCCTGAGAAGCCTCCCCCCTTTAATTTACAAAATTATAAACTCATGCATGTGACAAATCTTTGCTCTGCCAAACTGGAATTGTTATTTTGCATTTATGTCTACTCTCTTAATCTAATCCTATTGAATGTTATATCTATAAGCCACAGATTATCAAGGATGCTAATATTTAGTATTCATGAAGGAAAATTCAGTCAAAACACTAATTTACTATACAGTTTTAACTACTTTTCTTAAGATAATGATTATGCTTAAGATACATATGAGAATTTAAAATAATAGTGCATTTTAAAATTGAGTACGGCTTTATGATGTTCACAGTTCTTGAAGATACAGCAGTTCACAACATCTTGGATACTAACAAATAGTAACAGGTTTGTTGCTAAAATTATGCTTGTGGATTCTGTGTACCAGCCATTCTGAAGAGCTCTGAGGGAGTTTTCTATAAACCAAGATTATTTAAGGGAAAAAGCTGGACCTTCTCTGAAGTAACCAAAACTTTCAAAGTCATGAGGCCTACCAAGCTAGGGTGAGTTAGGGTAAGGAAACACCCTGATTTGCCTATTTTTCCTGGCTTCATTATTAATTTCCTCCTTCATTCTAGAGGTGTTTCAGTCTTAACAATAAATTATATTATCATCCTATTTAGAGTTATTTTTTTTTTCTCTTCTGAAGTCCAGTATTCTTTCTTAGAGCCCACAGGCCAGATTATGTTACTCATCAGCAATTATTGTAAAGGTCTCCTATAATATTATCAAATGGATTAAGCCAAATAAGACTAGTTAGACCCCCTTTAAAATTGCTCAAATATTTCCTGATATTTTTCCCCTCGGATATAGAACATGACCTAAACTGGTCACCTAAGGAAAGAATGTATGCTGATTCTAGTTGTCTTCTTCATTATTTTACCCATGCTGCAGTTTTCTACCTTGGCTTTCCATTCCCCAAATCTTCCAGAAATCCTATCTGTTCTGCCATATCACCACATCTTCTTGAGATTACAGACATAAATTCTATAGGGGCCTAAATCTCAAGATGAGTTCCAAAAACATTTGATCAATTTGCACCCATATAGAAACTTGAAACTAGAAGATATAGACATTTAGTCAGTCTCTCTCTAAACTATAAACATGCAACAGCATTTAGTAAGCACCCAAACTTCATTTTCTGAATGCTGCCTCTCTACAGAACCATGAGCAGTGAGCTTGATTCCAGATTGTAACCCCAGTCTTGATTTTTCTTTCACAGTGAATAATAGATCCTATCACGCATATATCTGTGCATGCCATTAAACTGCAACAGACAGTGCTAACGCTAGTAAACTCTCCTGTGGTTAGTATCTCCTTCGAACAACGTGTGTGTACTACGAAGTCTCTTTAAAATCTCCACTCAAAGTACTTTAGTAGTACAAGTGGTTCTTAAGAAAATAGCTGGCACCTTACAAAAACATGCTATTCATATTCATGCTATGTCTATACACATGATGGTTTCTGGAAATTAGGTGGCTGAAATTAATCAATACTGGTTTAACAATAGCTAGTAATCAGTTGAACTGTTATCATGAAAGATATATTTATGGGCAATATTTTATGATTGTGGAAAATTTCTACCAATAATCATTTCTTAAGAAAAATGACACCTTTACATTTTTTAATTCAGAAGTGGGTTGAGTCTTATACTGAACTTCAAGTAATGAATGTTTCAGATGTTTTTCACTCTTTATCTCTTTTCCCATTGGTACTGAACTTATTTTATTTTTAATATATTTCCCATGTCCCATTTCCTACTCTTTTCCCTACACTACTCTAAAGCAATCAGTTCAAGTCTCTTTGGGAAAGATAATGTTCTAGCAGAATGGATAATTAAAGGTATTATTTAAAGTAAGACTAAATTTATATTAGATGTTCATAAGTAGAGTTTTATTTTAAAATAACCTTTAAAACAAGGCTTTGTGAACTTACAGTTTCAGTCTATTCTCGAAGCATGACTTACATCAGCATTACTGAACCATCACTTTCAGTGAAAGCAAACTATCTACAATCTGCTCTGATGCTTCTTGTTCTTAGTTAAAATCAGAATATCACAATGGAATCTAATGTTGTATATAAGCCAAATGTCTAAAAATGGAATTATAATTGCTAATAACTTGTCTACTTGTCTATCCTACATTTTAGTATGCTCAGTTGGAAGTGACTTCTAGTCTTTCAGCTTTACATTTCTGAGATGGTGCACAATCCATAATGTACAAACAAGTCAACATACCAGGGGCTTTAATGATCAAAGATCCCAATGTGTAACCAAGACCCACAATTATAATGTGACTACTTGTTTGCTAATATCAGTTAATGTCCTTAGGACATTAACTTTCTTCCTTCTCTTGCTCCTCCATCAATCCTTGGGTAATAGGGAAAATACCTGAAAGAGTAAGGGCTTTACTACCTAAAGGAATCTTGAGGAATCATTCTGCCTGAGGTGCAGAGCAGAAAAGGAATGGGAGAAAAGGGTAACCAGATTTGGGTGTTACCTCGATGGCCAGTTGGAACTGTTCATGCTCCCGCTGCAGCTGCTCTGCTTCAGACAAAGAGCTGGCATTGACCAGGCTGGCATTGAGCATTGACTCCCCATTGCGTATCCATCCCAGGACCTAGGGAGTGAGACAGGAATAGGTGAGTAGCCTTCCATGGTTGCCCCAGAGCTACTGCCTCCTCTGATAGATACTCTGAGGCGAGAGCTTGCTATTTTCTACTCACAGTTGGTGAGATGATAGGAAGGATGTGAGTAACTAAAAGGGTCATCTTCCAATCTTACCTGGCACTTGTGCCATGAGGTACTTACTGTAAGTACCAACATTATTCAGAATATCGTCTTACCATCCCTCTGCCCCAATTTTTCCTTAAAATTGAACATTAGCACATTAGGCAACTTGAAATTTGAACATTAGTTTATTACATTGTATTATGAATACATTTTGAAGTTCTTTTTAGAACAAAAATTGGTATAAGCAAATAAATTCCACCAGGTGATATTCTTTTCAGTGCCCAGCTCAAGTGACAACTTCTTGAAATCTCCCACACCTAAACTGTCCCATCAGAAACAATTTCTCTCTTGTCTAGTACAACCACACTATTTTGCCACTCACTTCAGATGTCTTATGTTCTATTATTTTGACCTATATTTTACCTCACCTCTTAGAATGCAAACTTCTGGAAAACTAGGGCAATATATTAGTCTTATTTTAATTCCATACAGTACCTCTTAGCATACTATCTGGCATGTGATGGTTATACTGTAAAGTCACTGACATAGTGAACAATTACCTATGGGGAATACCCAAGTAACACCTGAGCAGAGGATCCAATATCCTATGACTTGAAAAACACCCAAGAGTAGATATGTCTGAGTTTTAGTAGGTAAACAACCCAAAGGAAGGAAGAAGGGGAAATAAAACAAGCAAAATAGAATGAACAATCTATACTCTGGACCATTAGGGAAAGGAAGACTAAAACCTATAGTTGATTTAAATTATTTAGAAGCTAAGCTAGACTGACTAAAATTTCTAGGAAACCTTTATTAGTACTAGGGAAGGGAAACTAAGCTAGAGAAAAGGCACTATCTAGACAGTCCGAGGTGAAATGGAGATATGGCAATCTAGTTAATCCAGTTAATAGAGTCAAGCACAAATAACCAGATGGCAAAAGTAGGCCTTGAAAATATACCTTGTGTCTTGTCACCAGAAAATTGCCAAATATTTCCTTTATTAGTCTGAGAGCTTGCTTGGACAGGAAATAAAAATTCTTCTGAAATTCTAGGATGAGTAAATACCACCCATCTGTTACTTTAAGTAAGGCAAAGGAGAAGATAACCACAATCTGTTTCAGATATTTCTCTCTTCATGTTAAATAATTAGAAAAGCACTAAGCTTGGTGTCCTATTCTATAATCTTTGCAGACAGTTCTCAAATTTCCAACTTGGGCAGAAATGACTGATGCCATATTGTGCATGAATAGCATGGTGGCAAATATCATGGCTGAAGCTGGACTATCTGGATTGAGATGTTAACTCATGGCCAGATGTTAATTCTGGCAGATTGTGGCTTAGACACTAATCTGTAAAGCAATTCATTGCAGGATATCACTGCTCAGAATGTAAGCGTGCAATTTCTGATACTAGTGGTATACTGTAGCTGGCTGAATAGAAGTGCTAATGATTTTCAAAAGTTACTTAAGGGTTTGGGTACATGCATACATGCATTGCAGGCTCAAATGCTTCATCTCTTTGGGAAATGAACTCACAATGTAGATTGTGAAGTAGGTAAGGCCTTTTGCCATGAATTCATTGCATTTTACTTGGTTCAAGATTCATATGAGGGTGTCAGAGAAACATTTTCTCAATCTGCACTATAAATCAGTGCTCAAGGAACAATCTGACTAACTCCTGTACCTGCTAAGTCTTGCTGGACTATTTCCCTCCCTGGTTTCAGCCAACTGGAAACATCAGTTATAGCTATGGTAGTAAGGATCCCCACTATCAGCTTTTCCGCTTAGAGATATCATAGGTTTCAGTTTCTGTGTCTTTCATCAAATCATGCTATACCCTTGGTATCATTGTTCATTTTTATTTTCCAAATGCTATTTATAAAGTAAGGCACCCTAGGACGTTAGTGATGAAGCATGACTTTAGGAAGATAAAAATTCATGGTAGTTTAGACACATGGCTTAGGCTCAGAGGTGGGACAGATCCATATGATTTGGTCAGCCTACAGGAGGAACTGGAATAGTATAAAAAGAGCACAAAATATGAAGTGTGAATACTTGGCCCCATTACTATCTGGAAATATCACTTGTTCCTTTGACTCTCCATATTTTTTCATCTGTAAAGTAAGGATAATTGCATTCCCCTTTTCAATATCTGGATTGACACAATATACTAAAAAAAAGTAATGTGATGATAGTGGTGATGGGTAATAATTTTTAGTTTTGTAGAAAAACTAGATAATTTTATGATTCTTCATTTACATTTCTCTCAATGAGAAGAGAAAAATTAGGAGTATTAATTTTTATTCCAGTATATGTATCAGCATATTCTTATATGATGTAGGTATCTCAGCTGTTTTGTTGTAATTATTCTAATCAATAACAACTCATATTAGTATAATTTTCTATTTCTATAATTCTTTACCTTTTTGGTCCATAAAATTTGTTATTTATTTTTCTTTGATTATTCAGATGTGTACCATGTAGTAGAAAAATATTATAATAAAGATGGGGAAAACATTGGTTATATTAGTACTGAGCTATACAATTTGGAAAACATCATTTAATTTCTCTGAGGCTCAGTTTTCTAAACTACAAATTGGCAATAATTTATCTGCCTAAATCATATAGTAAAGATGAAATAATTAACATAAAAGTACTTTTGCAAATATACTTTTGTAAGTGAAGATTTTATGTTGATTAATTATTTTAGGCAACAGTATACCTATAGGTTAGATGATCTTTGAAGGTCACTTTGAATCTTAACATCATTCAAAGACTGTTAGATATCAGAGACTGCTGCTATAATCATTGAATACTAGGGAAAGTTAGTTCCTTAAAAATGAGGTCTAACGGAGTATTGCTGCTTGGAGGAATTAAGGTTTGCCCAAGAATTCAGCTTAATTTGAGCTAAGAGGGATAACTATAATAAAAATCTATTGCTTTTCAATCCAAGAAAGCTCAGATAACCCCAATGTAGAAGACTGGATCTGATTAACTGGATGTGGATATCCACAAGTTCACTATGTCCACTATGGCATCTGAGACGACAAGGTGACCCTGTAACCACACAGACTGGGGAAGCTGCTTGAACATAGGTGTTTCTTAAGGTACAACAGCTGGTCTAGGTCATGCTGACAATAAAGCTGTGAGGATATACTCAAGGTCCTGGCACCAAGGCCTGCTATTGCTGGCAACTAATCACAAGGAATGGTCATCCAACACTCTAGCCACAGAAAAAAAATCACTTCAGATGGTAGGTGAGGAGTTTAGCATATTTCTTAAGACTCACAATTTATGAGATTTTGTGTATTAATTTTCATGGTTTTATAGACTATAACCAGATATCTTCGTAATCATCTCCATTTTGAAACAAAAGGATAGTACTTGCTTCTCTTGTGGATCTATTCAACTCCTTTCTAACTTTTATGCATAGTGAAGAGAAATGAACACAGTATTCTTGACAGAAATAATGAGGACAGGAAAATAGCTTCTCTTTTGTTTTGGGTGTCCACCTTGCTCATATGCAAATTTTGGCCAGCATTTGGCTCTGAGGGGTCTTGTAGCCCAATTTTCTCCAGGAAACATTGAAATGCATACCCAAGTAAGTAGGTTTCCTGAACTATCTAGTAAATATGAGGTAACATTTATCAGAGTAATAACTTTACAGAAAGCAATCAGTACTTTAGAAGAAAGAAGAGGTATCTGGTGGTCGAGGGCCCTGGAACTTGTGCTATAATCAGGAGAGTGGTTTCCCAGTAAAAGTCAACATTTCCCTAGAGGTACTTGGACCACTTATCTTAGAGTCTCACATAACTGAAAGAAAATCAATTGCATTAATCAATGTCATTTGTACTAAATAGTTGAAAGCAATGTTCAGTCTTATGTCTACAGCATTCTAACTTCTCACAGCTTCAGTTTAATGTAATTGTGGTGGAACCACACAGTTTTGATGGCTAAATCTAAACCTTTAATTTTTAAGCTCTAATAACAGAGCTATATTAATAACACATTTATGTCCTCTTCCTTTCTGTCCCCTTTAATGGCATTTAAATTAAATTGTCTTTTCTTTTTTCCTTTTTTTTTAGAGTATATTCAAAAGAGAAACTCTCAAGCTAGTGTCTAAATTTAGTCTTACTGATCAATACTGACATCTAAATTAACTCCCTCTTTTCAAGTGTCAACAGCTTCCAAATCAATATTTCCTGCTCTACCACCTTCCATCAAATACAAACACCTTCTCTGAAACTGGATCAGACGACTCCTACATTGGCAAGGAAAACAAGTCTGTCTAATGAGGCATAGTGGCTCAACCAAGCAGCAGTCCCTAGGCACCTCTGAGGGCAGCTGTCCTTCACCAAGGCCTTCATGGGTTGCCTAAAGTTTGACTGAAGCAATACAGGGCCAAATTAAAACACAAGCCCACTGTGTTTCATGACATTCTTGACAAGATGGGGGGAAGGAATTTGTTTACCTAGTTAGAATAATTATTTTTTATCTCTGGCTCATGAAGATACTGACTAGCAATATATCCAGGTGACAGTGAAGTCTGGATTATTCACACATAGAGGATCTACTTCCCTACTTGACAAGCTACCTATGTCATCCTCGCTCCCCATGCTATATAGGAAATGCATTTCTGGGATAAAAATTTATTTGCATTTTCATGCCAAGAAAAACATAATTAGAGAGCTAACTCTATCGCTGTAGAGTTTTTACTACTATTAATGCAGGAATGAAAAAATAATAGCCAAGAACAGAAACAAAAGTATATATTTCACTTCAAAGTCAAATAGGAGTGATTTCCCTTTCACAGAGATGATCATCCCTACCACCTTCCATTGATGGAAACAACTGATATGAACAGCAAAGCTATTCCTTGACCCTCAAAAGCCCATCAACTGTCAGCAGGTGCCACCTTCTCTACCAGGTGTAGGCCAGGCCCATGTTCTCAGAGGCATTGCACAGGCCAGAAAAATCTCAGACTGTATTATTCTGGAGGGTTTCTTTCTATTTCTCTTAGAACCCCATGATAGAAAACTACAAGACCTTAAACAGACAAGAGCTCCCAGGAGCGCTGATCTTCTATGGTACCTCAATTTCCACATTTGTAAAATACCCATAATACTACTTTCCCCCCATGGGCCTGTTTGAAAATGAGATCACAAATGAGAAAGTTCTCATATGAAAGGAAAGTGCTGTCATTTGTGACAACAGTTTCAGCATTTGTAAACTTAGCACTCTGTGTCTACTAGGATTCCCACTGTGTCTCCAGAGAGGTGTTTCTCTCCGGGGATTCAGACGTGGTCACAGTGTAAATAAAGAGAAAACCACCTGGGTGGCAGCACTGTGATCTGGGTTTGCTTGGGACCCGGTGACTTCACCTGCACTGTAGAAGAAACTTTAGCTCAATGTGGGCTCAATGTGGGGATATAAGAGGAATGTGGAAGACAATATGTCCATCATAATAATTGACAGTATATTATTAAGACACAGGAGGAATACTATGACTGTGAGTCAGGTTTGGGGATAAAGAGGAAGGAGGTCAATTCAGTGTTGGAGGATAACTTGGTAAAGTCCTGGAATGCTCTCCTCAGATTACGTGAGAGAATTACGCCTTTGAGGCTTGACTCAACATACCATTAGATCTATTTGTTACAGCCCGTAAAGAGCAGCCCAGCTGTTCAAGGCTAATATACCATTCCTTGACATACCTATCTGCGAAGTTCTCCTTACGCCATGACACTGCATGCCTCCCCCATGAGACGCAACTGATATGAACAGCAAAGCTATTCCTTGCCCCAAGAGCCCATCAAACTGTCAGCAGGTTCCACTTTCTTTCTCTACCAGGTGTAGAGTAGACTCCATCACGGGAAGCCCAGGCCAAAGGTGGCAGGGCCAGGCTCACCTGTTTGACTTCGGCCTGGAGGTGCCGCAGTTGGAGACACTGCTCTAGCCGCTTGTGGGTCTGCTCTGCGTTGAGCTCCAATTCATGTTGCTTCTCATGGAGAAACTCCAGCAGCTCTTGCACCTGGGCTGCCAGGTCAATGTCTTTCTCACAGATTAACTCGATTCCTGATTTAAACAAAAGGTAAACAATTCAGAAAAACAGGTAATATTGTCACAGCTACATTTCAGTATGGCGTCTGCATACGGAATCTGCATATCCCAGGTTATGAAAGCTGGGATCTGGGAACAGCCACTATCAGTACTCTCCATATCTCCCTTTGTGGATTTGGCTAGAACACCATAACGTGTCTCTGGGATATTCAAACTATGCTTTCTCTTTTGGATATTTTAACTGGCCCTTGGTCTGGGAATAGCTTGCTAACACAAACAACCATTTATTATCGACTGTATTAGAGAAAGAGGTGGATCTCTGGCAATCCACCCCCAGACAAGACAGTATCAGAAAGTCTTTGCTGGGAGAATTTATCAATCCATATATTCCCAAGCAAGTTTTGGGATCGAATTGGGAAATACAAACCCAAACCAAAAGACCCTGTCTCATGACATTCTGCCAACTGAGGTTTCTTTTGGTTGGTGAGAAGCAATTCACCATTAGATGATAAGTCCACTCTGATGAGAACAGCTATGGCCCATTATCTACTCTTACATTTATGTCACCTTGTGGTTCCTATCTGTTACAACTTGGTGCAAATTGTAACCTGTGCTGTTTCTGGATTCTGACTGTTTACCTATTTCTGCTTCGGGCTTGCTCAGATCCTTGCTTTGGGAAAATCCTACCTCTGGATTGCTTGTGTACTTCTGGTCCCTGACTCACCTAGCTTCTTTCTGACTAAGTCTTTCTCCTAGTTGCTCATTCTGTCACCTAGACCCAGCACAGCCCTGGTCCCATAGCTGATAGCTTGTCTGAGATACTGACCAATAGGGATCCAACCAACAGCATGGTTCAGACTTAAATCCAGCAGATAAGTCATAGAAAGTGTAGTATACACCCAAAGGAGCCCACTAATCTGTGTTTGTCACCTAAAAAATAAATCCCCTTTGGGAGAATTTCTCATCATTCTGACTCACACTGTCAGAAACTCATCACCACTGCCACCAACACACCTGCGGATACAGTTGGGGGAGTGTGAGGAAAGTCTGTACACGCTAATGGAAACTCATTGCTAGAGGTAAAAATAGTGTTTTATATAAGGAGGATATGGGAGAGTGGGAATTTTTTTTGGTGTTACATGGTAATAATTTCAGTATCTTTTCATGTTTATTTTTTTCTGTCAGCTACATAATTCCAAGTCCCTGAAATATCTGTGGGAGACAGAAAAGAACGGCTTGTTCTTTTGGCAGTCAACTCCCTCTAGTTACTATTTTCATTTACCGAGGGGAACAAGGTAGAGCATCTCTTTGACTGAAATAAAAAAAAAAAAACAAGAGGAAATAGAAAAACTCATACCTCTGCAGTGGTTGGGAAGGTGGGATGACCCTTGCCCCTAGTGTTTACTTTCTGGAAATGCAATTTAAGATTCAGGTGCAGAAGTAGGAGTGTTTCCCTGCTTCCAGCCACAATGCAGACTTTTTATAAGCTCATTTAATTCTGCATGCATCTCTTGTGTTTAGCATGCTAGGCTTGGGGCAAAGTGTCTTTCTATGGGAAGCTCACAGCCTACCCCTGCATGTAAATGGGCTCTCTAAGCCTGGTTCCTCATCAAAGGGACCAGACACTTGCTTGGGCGATCATGCTGGACAGGTTTCCAGTGGGCCCTTCATTTTCTCTGTCCCTCACTTAATACTGTTTTGGGAGATGACAGGAAATCAAAGGGGTGAAAATGATGTCTACTGCACTTCCGCACTCCTCAAGAGCACATGATGCTGTGGAAGAAGTAGGGGGAAGGACATGAAGACTTGGCCACACCTAGAAGAGAAATTCACCCTCTCCAGTGCCATATGGTGACATGAGTTTCAGCTAAAAACTATCAACTAGTAAATATCCATCAATCACCAGCACATAGTTTGTTTGTGTTGACATTATGCTCTCAGTGTAACCACAGGTCTGTCTTCCTTACGGGCTCTCAGAAATTGAATAAGACATGTTTGTTTATGCCTTCAAGTGGTGAAATGCAATCTTAATGGTTTGTGAGTCACTTTAGAGAGGTTGCACTGAGGTTTCTTTCTGAGGTGCCCCCACAACGTTTATGAGCATCCCTCGAGCAGGACTCTTCCACTGAGTCTGTTTCCTTGTTCACTTGTTTTTGTAGGAACACAGGGCCCGTCTCTCTCATGCCTCTCTGCATCTAGCACAGTCCTTGACATAATATTAAGCAAATATCTGTGCAGTGAACACACAGGCCTCTCCAGGGAAGAGCTCATGTGCTGTGGTGGAAAGCACCTGAAATTTTTGGGAAAAGACAGGCTTATTATTGAATCCATGCTCTGCCAACTGTTAGTGGTAGCTCTCTGAGTCCAAAATGCTCTGAGTCTAGGTAAATTTAAATTCCAAAAATGACCTCACGACTGTGTGTGTGATAAGGGGAGTGTGAGGGGCTGAGGGTGTTATGATGATTAAGTAAGATAAAATATATACAATGTCTGGCATTTAGTAGACTCAAAGCACACATTTTTCCACTTTTTTCTTCTCTGAAGAAATAAGAGTATATTCATTGTTGATCACTAATGGGACCAGTGAAATGGCCTCCATAAAATGTAAACACTGCCAGGTATTTATGTACTTGTTCAGCATGTATCATTAACAGCGATGGTGGTTAGGACACTTTTACACTAGTGTTCCCAATCTTGGCTCATGTTAGCTTTATCTGGAGAATTTAGTAACTACCATATCCTGACCACGGCCCAGATCAAGAATAACATCAGAGTCTCTGGCTAGTGCACAGGCATCAGGAAACCTTAAAGCCCCAGGGAGATTCCATTCTGCAACCAAGACAGGAATGCACTGGATGAGATGCTACCATGACCAGCAACCCCCCAAAAGCTATCCCTTACCTACACGCAGTCAGCAAAATGCTCTCAGCACATTATCTATGGTGCAAGGTCACAACTAATAATGACATGTGACTTTCATTGTTGCCAAGAGGAGGGCACCACTTAAATTCCTCAAGGAGAGAGGTGGCTGTGGGTGAGAGTAAGATTTGGGTATTCTCGACTATGGTCTTGTTTTTGTGATGGGTCTTTTGAATGTTTGTATAGTCTTTAAATATCTGTGTCTGCCTCAGACAGAGAAATCTTTTGTTCTCTTCCCCCACCCTTTCTGTGTCACTCTCACAATGTAACACTCAGTTCAGAAATTACAAAGTCCTTTAATCAGGTTATTAGATCAGTATTTTCAAGTCTGGCTTTATATTAGAATCACCTGGGAAGTTGTAAAAATAATCAGGACCCACTCCAGACCAATTAAGTAAGAATCCCTGAGGCGTGGGCTTAGACCTTGGTTTATGTGATAAATTCCCTGTATGATTCTAAATATGTAGCCAGGCAAAACCATTGTTTTACATAGAGGTTCTTCTCTTCCCTCCTTGCAAACCCCACTGGATCCACATTCCTATCAAGTCCAGAGTAACTTCCATTTTGAAAATACTAAAGCTTTTTCTTTCCTTTTGTGACACAAAAGTCTCTTATTTTTTTTACCACATCTGTTCTACCCACACTGATGTTCATTCTTAATTAATTTGGTTAATTCAGCAAATATTACCATTGAGAACTTGGAAATGTGCAAGAGTGAACCAGTCTGCCAGACCCTGGCCATGTAAAGAAAAGGAAGCATCTCCTGCTCTCATGTGGCTGGAGAAGACAGGGTCACAAATAACCCCAGAATGAAGTAAGTACTAGAACACTAGAGTAATATGCAATAGCTATCAAGCTTTAGCAACCCCTACCATGCTGTGTATTACTCCACGGAAGCCTCACAGCGACCACAGGTATCCCTATGATCATCGATTTCTAGAGGAAGGCAAGGTGCAGAGAGATCAGGTAACATGGTCAAGGACATGCAGGTAGTTAGAGGTGTGGCTGTTTTGCCAACCCCTGCAGTCTCCCTCTCCAACCTGTACCCTTTAACCTCCAGGCACAAGAAGAAAAGTGATCCTCACAACCCTAATTTAAGAATTTGGTTGATATTACTAATACCGAGACTGGGTCTAGACCGGCACAGTCAATTTTAAGCATCATTGTTACAGACTACAGATTTTTTACCTAAAATTTTTGCATATAGAGAGAATCTGCTGCTTTGTTGAAACCACAAAAGCAACATATCAAGAGGTTACTCAGAACCTGTCTTATTCCTCAGGCCACGGGTAACATTCACATGGTCAGGTTTCATTGGCGAGACCTGTGGCGTGACCAGTAGGGGCTGCTGAGGTGGAATCATGGAAAAGGAGAAATGAAGAAGATTTCAGAGCCCAGGTCCAGCTGCCACACTAGACAGAAGTAAGTCTAAAGGAAGAAAAGGGACTTGTAGAGTCTGGTAGCAAACTGGTGGTAGAAATGGATCCACCTGACTCCAGCAAAATCTGCCCCTCCCAACTGGAGGCTCATGACATTGTCTACTGCTGTAATGAGGACAGAACACTGACCAGGCAACTACACTGCTCTGTTCTGTGTCAGATCCCAGGCTGATGCTGACATAAGCAAAGACTTTTCCTTGGTTATTACCGTTGGCATGCCAGAGGGATTTAGTAGAACCTGGTTCAGTGTTGCAAACCTCACACCTGAAAATAACAATATGAAAACACTACTTTCATTTACCCCTCTAAAACCAAAGCAAAAGCCCTTATTTTGGCATGGAAGGCTAAATACCAACCAAATTCTTAATTTTGCTAATTGTTCTTTTTCTATTACAGTTTACCTTTAGTTCAAATATAGACACACGCCATAAATGCCCAAGTCACTTATTGTATTAGTCCTGTGTCTCTGAAATCCTCAGTCCTCCTATACGTGGGGGCAAGGCCCAGGCTGGATCCACCCCCACCTCCCAGATCTGATGTGATGCAGCTCCCCCTTCTCCAAGCCGGAGCTGAGAGCGAGGCAGCCTCTGCAGGACTGAGCATCCAGCAGCAGTGGGCCTCTCCAAAACCCCTGGATTCATTCCCTGTAAAGCCTCATGGGCTATGTGAGACTGAACAGCTAGATGTAATAAGAACTTGGGAACAGCCAGTCCCAGCAAAGGGTTGCAGAGGCCAATGAAGCCTCCCTTGTCAACGCTTGTTTCTAGAACAGGATACTGTGGGAGTGGGCAGCCCATCTGCCTGGGGTGTTTTCACCCCCTCAGCCCTCGTGGTTAAGGTGGCGGCCAACCACAGCCAGCCTCCAGTCTTTAAAGGCTGCCAGATCCCTGCAGTCTTTTTGTTACCATGGATATCTGACTCTTGCGACTGAAGAGGGCTGGCCCAGGTCAAGCCAGGACCCTGGTCTTAAGTGCCTGAAGTCTACAGGCAGATAAATCTAGACACGTCAGCACTGAGGGATGCTGTCGGGCTTCTCTGTTGTGGCTTCTCTCCTAAGTACTGTTTGTGTTCCTGCCTAGCCCAGTCTCAGCTGGGTAGCCAACTACCGTGAACATCATGAGATAAACTGAGAACCAGTAAGGTTCCAATCCATGGAGAAAGGATAGCTCCCCACTTCCTTAATAAGGCCTTGAAAAAGGACAGTCTGTGGCCAAGAATGCTGCTTCTGAAATGCAATAAAGGCAGATTTACCTGGAGATTTTGTTAGCATGCAGATTCAATTTCATACGTGTGGGGTAAGGTGTGGGATTCTGCATTTCTAATCAGCTCTCAAAGTGCTGCTGGTCCAGGGCCCTCACTCAGAGAGGTCCTAGATCAGTGGTCCTAGGTGAGGATGCATGAAAAGCACCTGGAGGACTTGTTGAACCACCTATCATTGGAGGCCCCACCCAAGAGCTTCTGACCGGCAGGTCCTAAGATGGCTCATGGACTTAGATTTTTGCTGAATCGGGGTCACAGTTGGGAGTCACTGTCTTTGATCTTTCCATGGTATCAGATGCTGTGATTTAATCATCATGATGAAATGCAGTGGTTCTCTGCTTTGGCTGCCCAGTGGAGTCACCTGAGGACCTTTGTGCTGCTACCCAAGTCCCATTCAGGCCTTATTAAGTCAGAATACTTGGGTGTGGAGTCAGGGCATCCTCATTATTAAAACACTTCCCGGACAGACGTGCAATGTGAATGGTCCTTCCTGAGGCTGTGCACCCCATATATACTCTAGGGTCTCACAGGCAGTTGCAGCTGTTGTGTTCATAATGCAAATGCCAATTCAAGGAAGGATTATGCTGTCCAAATTGATTAGAACTTACTAGGTTTTCTCTCCTCTGATTAGAAATTCCAAGTTCCTTCGAGTGTTGATATTTACTTTCATCGTTCAAAAAATTAGTATCCTAAGGTCAAATGTGATTGCTAACTACTGCCCAAGAATCTCATGATGGCAAAAATCCTTCAAAATCAACAGGGTCAATTGCTTTAAAGTGTTGATGGCAGCCCCTGTGTGCCCCCACCTAGAGGCCAGGAGCTTGGGTAGGCGAGGACCCCGGTAGGGCACTGGGGTGGGTTTGGGTGTGGAGACCTAGGTTCAAGCATTCCATTAGCACGTGTGCTTCTGAGTGACTTCTTTTGACTGCACTAGCAGGACTACAGGCAAGAGAACTCAGGCTTTCTCCAGTTCTAACATAAAAGCCCACTTTGGAGAGTAGCAGGTGTAACAGTATGGGCTCACGCATTTGTTAGATTTTTATCCTAAGCAAGAAAAGATTTCAAGTATGGTAACAACCATGCTTGTTTTTTAATTTTTGAGAACTTACAAAAATACACATCCTTGCCATAAATTTAGTCAATCCTTCTTAGACTCACTCACAGGCCAGTGATAAAATACTGAGTCTGAGAGGCATGAACTGGAGACAAGGAGCCTATCCTGGAGGTGGAGGATAAAGCAGGAGCGTGTGTACAAGGAGGCAGGGATGGAATCAGGGGCAGCTCCCCATCTGAATACATTTCACAGGGATGGCTGACTGCTTTTGGAGCAAAGCACTTCATTTGCTTTTCTAGGCCACTATTTTTTGAATCTGTGCTAATTTCCATTATTGTTTTTTTCCACTCTCTTTGTAGCATAAAAGGAGTCTGGTTCTAACCTCAACTATACTAGGTCCTACTGGAAGACCAGATTCTTCTTTAAAATGATGACCACAATCTGTTCCTTGTATATACAGGCATAATATGAACAGAGTGGAAGTTCTTGTCAAGTCATGCTGGTATTCGTTTTTTCATTATCTCTTGCCTGGAGAACCCACCTGAGGCCTGGACCTCCAGGATGTACTGGTGCAGATCCTGGCCCTGCTGGATGACCTCGAAGGTCATGTTGTTCATGGCTAGCTTCCTCTCCGTGTGGCGCTGCAGCCGCTGCTCTGCCAGCGTCAGGTCCTCCGTGTTGAAGTCATTCATCTGCCGGAGCAGGTCCTCATTCCAGGCGTCGAGCTCTGCTGTCACCTGCATGGGAATGACCAATAGTACAGACTCACTGGTCCAGGGACTGTTGGGGGAGTCACCAATTCCAAAGCTTATTAATGAATTGACCCTTGGATCAGTCTGTTTTCCATCTCTTTGAACCCTAGACAGTATTTGAATATTGCCATGAGCACAACAGATACGTGTCCTTTAAAAGTGCTCTCTGGGCCCTCCTGGGGGGTCCAGCTGCTTCAGTGCCAATTAGATCCCCGGCCCCGGAGGTGATCCACATGGTGCAGCAGACCTCTCCTGAGCTGCCCGCTGCTCCTCTCAGCAGTGCACTTAGTCCATCTGCCTATTCCATTCTCTACTCTGTCTCTGGTGAATTTTCTTACCACCCCTGCACCTCTGGCTTGTACCCCAGTTCTGTGTGCACAAGTTAAATATTTTTTAAAAAGTGTTCTCTGTGGGTTTCAATATCTCTAGCAACAGCAAAGGAAAAGCAGCAAATGTATGATGAATTCAGTTTCTCCCATTTGACCCTCACAAGGACCCAGAGAGGTGGGCAAGGTAGCAATCGCCGTTGATCTTACAGAAGATGCCTTGGCTCACTCAGACACATAGAATGATTTGTCCAGACTTCCCCTGTCAACAAGAAGCAGACCTGCACATAAGAGTCAGGTCTTCTATTCACTACAAAGATGCTGGCCGTGGTGCTTCAAGTATTACTCTAAAAGTTTAAATATTAAGCCTAGCAAACTCTTTTTAAAAGAAACATAAACCGAGGACTGGAGAAGCTGGTGAATGATCTGAGCTTACACAATCAGTTTGTTCATCGAAACCAAGGGTAACATCTGGTTCTGTTGTACAAGAGTCTCTGTTACCTGCAGATACCTGCAAATAGTGGCTGAACAGGTGTAGATGTAAAGCACACCTCTAAAAGTCCAAGTCGATTATGCTTTATAGAAAGATCAAACACCATGATACGCTGAAGACCAAAGCATCATGTAATGAATGGTAACTGCCTAATATGAATGTGCTAGTTGGGTATTCTGCTGCTTCACTTATGTGGCTTCCCCAGTATCTCTCAAAACTGAATGTGCCACTTTACAACTGTTGTAATTGTTCACAGAGAACTCAGAAGTACTGCATTGGATAATAATTCACCTGTTACATGGGCAAACATGGTAAATTTTTCAAACATGGTTTTCAGGCCAATTTGCTCAGGTTTACCCCTCAGCCCTGTGAATGCAACAGAACAGGGACTGGCAACCTCTTTGTCAAGATGAGAAATAACAATGATAACACAGTGCCTACCCCGATGAGCACCTACCCTAGAACCCCAGGTCATGACTGTCATTCTGCTGGGGCTCAATTCAGCTGACAGGAGGCATTACCTTCCCAGTTACCAAGCAGTACTGTGTCACAGTATCAGAGCTGGAGAAGACCAGCCCACAGCAGCTGGGAGGTAGCACTGCCAGGTCCCGAGCTGCGGACATACCAACTGGAGCGGGGAAAGCAAGCAGATTGCATGAGAGGCTGTTGTTTGAGGCAAAGAATTATATTTTTAGTTCAAAAGTTAGATCTTTCCTTAGTGAAAGTGTAGTTGCTCTCTTTGAAGCGGTGGGGGGATCTGTAAAAACATCCCTTTCA